CCCCCGGGCCCCCAAAATGGGGGGGGGGGGGGGAAGGGGCACCCGCCCCCCCCCCCCAGTCCTTCCCCAGCAGGGCCAGGGCGCAGGCAAGGAGCGAGCCCCTCCGGGTGCAGGCAGACACCCCCGGCGCAGACCCCCGCTCACTGCAGCGGGGAGATCTTCAGGGGGATCATGATCCGTGACTCCATAGTGCGGATCAGCGGAACTGGAAAAGGAAGGGAGGGAGAGGTGAGGGTGGGGGGTCCCCAGTGAGGGCGGGGGGTCCCCGGCGAGGGCGGGGGGTCCCACTCACCTGTGTAGTACACGTTCTCGTCCCAGCCCCTCTTCCTCCAGGCCGCGTTCCTCGTCTCCTCCCGGGACTGCAGGTCCTTGTAGGCTGCAAGGAAGGGACGGGGCTGGCACCTGGGGACCCCCCACACCCAGCCCCCTCGCTGGGGTACCCGGGGGGGTGCGGTGGGGAGCCCCCTTACCCCAGAGGTGATGCACGACGTACAGCTCCCCAATCTGGGAGAAGAACCCGCCGACTGCCTCCTGGTTCTCCTGCCGGTACTTAATGGCCCGAGCCCTGGCATGTGGCAAACGCGGGAGAGGGGAGTTGCCCAGGGGGCCCCCCCGGCTCTAGGGGGACCTTTTCCCACCTCAGCTCCCTCCGTGCCGGGAAAACGGTCGCTTACCAGTTGTTGCCCCATTCGATCATGGTCCCTGGCTGGAAATAGAAAAAAAAAAAAAAAGAGTGAGCAGCCAGATCCCACCTGCTCCCCCCATTTGGGGTCTCCTCACCAAAGAGGGAGGAATTTGGGGGGGCTGCCCCCCAAAACACCAGGCAGAACCCCCGCCCCGGGGGTATATTGATCTGAAAGCCACCCCGAGGCATGGGCTGGCCCCCCACAGCTGCTCACCTTCAGCTTGTAGGTCCTCAGCTCATAGATGTTGGGTCCCTGGCGGGGCAGGGGCTCATTCCAGAAGCTGAACTCCAGGAGCAGCTGGTTCCTGCGGGACAGCAGCATCCGGCTCCTCTCCTTGCGGAAGTCCAGGTATTCCTGGGGACAGCCCCAGCTGGGGATTTCGGGGTGGGGGCGAGCGCGACCCGGGCTGGGGGTGGCAGGCAGAGGCGAGGGGCAGAGCTCGGGGGGCTCGCCCCAATCCCAGCGGTACCTTATTCTGCTTGAGCTTGTTCATGCAGTCCATGAGGGCCGGGTACCCGCCCGAGAAGCGCCAGAGGTGCACTGGAAGGAGAGCACAGGGCTGGGGAGATGGGGAGCAGCGCCCCAAAAGCCCACCCAACAGCTCTCCCCGCCACATGACAGCCAGCCCCCGGCAGGAGCCGAGGACTTCACCTTCGCTACGCTGCCTGCCTGCCCTCACCTGCCTGGTCCTGCTCGCCGTACCACGTGTTCCAGTTCCCCACCAGGTCGCAGGGGTAGTCGGCGTCCGAGTGGAGCTTGGGCAGCACCTCCTCCCTGCAGGGCCGCAGGGAGGGTGGCTGGGGGGCAGCCACCCCAAAATGCTCCCAAAACCCCCGTTTGCCCTCCTCAGCCCAGCACGAGGGGTCTGGGCGCGGAAAGGTCTGCCCTAACGGGACCTGGAGCAGCCCCGGGGGGGGTGCACCCATTTCACAGGGAGGGAAACTGAGGCCAGGAGCAGGGGTACAGACCCACCCGGGGTCTCAAGGAGCCCTGCACGAGCTCTCCCACCCCCCCTCGCTCCAAAGCTGCACCCCAACACCCCAGGGAGCCCCCCATGCCGCACAGCGGGGGCTCACGTCAGGCTGTTGTAGGCGTCCAGGCATTCCGGCTTCACATTGTGAACTGCGGGGGGAGAAGAGAGGGGCTGGAGCCGAGGCCCCGGGGGGAAGCGGGGGCCAGGGCAGAGCAGCCGGGGGGGGGCCCCGGGGGCCCGCCGAGCCGGGGGGCCCCT